TTTTTTTTTTTTCCTTCTGGATAGATGCCCAGTAATGGGATTGCAGGATCAAATGAGAGGTCTAGGTTGAGTTCTTTAAGGTTTCTCCATTCTTCCTTCCAAAATGGTTGTATTAGTGTGCAGTCCCACCAGCAGTGCAAAAGCGTTCCTTTCTCTCCACATCTGCACCAGCATCTGCAGTTTTGAGATTTTGTGACATAGGCCATTCCTGCTGGGGTTAGATGATATCTCAGGGTGGTTTTAATTTGCATTCCTCTGATATTTTTTCATATTCTTAGTAGTCATTCATCTATTGGCTTTAGAGAAGATTCTATTCATGTCTCTTCCCCATTGATGTATGGGATTGTTGGTTTTTTTCTTGTAGATTAATTGAAGTTCTGCATAGGTCCTGGATATTAGACTTTTGTCTGATTCAAAATATGCAAATATCCTCTCCCATTGAGTAGGTTGTCTATTTGCTTTGGTTGTTGTCTCTTTGGCTGTACAGAAACTTTTCAGCTTCGTTAAATCCCATTTGTTTATTATTGGTGTTGTTGCTATTGCCATGGCAATCTTCCTCATAAAGTCTTCCCCAGGCCAATATCTTCCAGTGTTATTCCTATTCTTTCTTTGAGAATTTTTATTGTTTCATGCCTTAAATTTAAGTCCTTTATCCATCTTGAATCAATTTTTGTGAGTGGAGAAAGGTACGGGTCCAATTTCAGCCTTTTACATGTGGATATCCAGTTCTCCCAGCACCATTTATTAAATAGGGAGTCTTTCCCCCCACTGGATGCTCTTGTTTGGTTTATCAAAGATTAGATGGCTGTAAGTTGTTGGTTTCATTTCCAGATTTTCTATTTGATTCCAAATATCTATGTCTCTATTTTTGTGTCAGTACCATGCTGTCTTGACCACTATGGCCTTGTAGTACAGCCTAAAATCCGGTATAGTGACACCCCCAGCTTTGTTTTTGTTACTAAGAACTGCCTTAGCTATATGGGGTTTTTTCTGGTTCCATACAAAATGCAGAATCATTTTTTCCAAGTCTTAAAAGTACGATGTTGGTATTTTATTTATTTATTTATTTATTTATGGTGTTGAATCGGTAAATTACTCTGGGAAGTATAGACATTTTAACAATGTTGATTCTTCCCAGCCATGAGCATGATATGTTCTTCCATTTGTTGATGTCCTCTGCTATTTCCTTTCTTAGAGTTTCACAATTTTCTTTATAGAGGTCCTTCACCTCTTTTGTTAGGTATATTCCTAAGTATTTCATTTTCTTTGGGGCTATGGTGAAGGGAACTGTGTCCTTAATTAACCTCTCATCTTAGCTATTATTGGCCTATAGAAAAACAACTGACTTGTGGACAGTGATTTTATATCCTGAGACATTACTGTATTTTTTGATGACTTCCAGGAGTCTTATGGTTGAGTCTTTGAGGTTCTCCAGGTATAAGATCATATCATCAGCAAAAAGGGAGAGTTTAACCTCCTCTGCTCCCATTTGGATGCCCTTCATTTTCTTGTCTTGTCTAATTGTATTGGCTAAAACTTTCAGCACAATGTTGAATAGTAATGGTGACAGAGGACAACCTTGTCTGGTTCCGGTTCTAACTGGAAAAGCTTTCAGTTTTACTCCGTTCAGCAAAATACTAGCTGTGGGTTTGTCATAGATAGCTTTGATCAGTTTAAGAAATGTACCACCTATGCCTATACTCCTCAGTGTTCTAATTAAAAAAGGATGCTGGATTTTATCGAATGCTTTTTCTGCATCTATTGAGATGATCATGTAGTCTTTGGTTTTACTTCTATTGATATGGTGAATAATGTT